ACTGCAGAACATACAAATTGTTGATATGAGATGTTGGCTTGTAGTTCCAGAGTTAAAATAACAGTTGCTGATTCAAAATCCTACACAAAATACTGTAAAAACTATCATGAAATTATTTTCTGTTCTATTTTAATTAGGGAGAATACGCTGTCCTTGCTGAAAAAAAGAAGTATTTCAGCACTAGGCAGTGGTCGTCCACTTGTCTCTGAACTGGTAAGTATTAATTGTAAAGTTGCAGAGCTGTTCTTCATAAATGTTACAACTCTTTGCATCTACATGCCTTGGAAACACTTTTTATGTATACAATATAGATTGTAGGCATTGTACAAGATCCAAATTGAATGATTGCAGACTGTATGACAAAGACTGCATTCTTCAACTCATGGAGGGTATTTGCAAGCAGTTCCTTTCATTTATCAGTATTGCCCCTAGCAGGCACTTAACCAACATTTACTGACTAGTATTTTATAGCACAAACTTGAATACAGTTGTTTGCTAAGGGCCACACAGGCTGTTCTAGAGACATTTGTTTACATGAGGCCCAGTATAATCTTTTTTTCCACTGTTGTACAAATACATATAAATGTTAAATGGGATGACATTTCATTATTTGTTTTCGTTCTTAACTTTGTATAGGATCCTGATGCCCCCATTAGACAGAAACTTCCTCTGGATGATCTGGATCGTGAAGATGACATCAGACTTCTAAAATATCTCTTCACATTGATCAGAGCTGGCATGACTGATGAGGTATAATGTGCTTTTATTGTCTCTTACTGGTTGCTTTATGTGATGAACTGTTGTATTCTAAGTATGTTGTGGCCTAAAACTGCTAATTCGTGAGATATGTCCTTAGTGTTTGAAAAAGTCCATGTATTCCCTGTGATGATGATCTTAATTCAAGTGAAATGATACAACAGTGTGCTTACAATAAAAATGTGACTGAAATGTAGACACGTGTGTGGTTTTGCAGGCAGTATTAAAACATGTTCTTGTGTGTAAATACCCTCAATAATGAGTGCATTTTCTGGTCATGTTAGGCCCAGCGCTTGTGTAAGAGATGTGGCCAGTCCTGGAGGGCAGCAACACTGGAAGGATGGAAGCTTTATCATGATCCAAATATAACTGGAGGTAGTGGGGCTTTTTAACCCTTATCTTTCCATCACTTGAGTTTTCTACATTGTTGTCCCTTTTGTATCTGT